GGGGGGGGGGGGCACCGATACCGCACTCTGCTGTCCCTCCGAATAGACGGTGTTGACTTGATTTCCAAGAAGGGTGGGTGTGCATCCCGCTTCACGAGGAAGGGAAACTTGTGCTATCTCTTGCGTGCGGACGATAGCTTCGGAGACATCATTTCTGGTATTCCGTTTTTCAGGACAACTTGTTGAAAGGGATTGCGCATGAGGTGATCTTGTGGGCGCCAGCCAGGTGGGGAAGGGGGTGCTCGTGGCTCGACTTTATCATACCATCATAGACCAGTGTGCCTCGCGGGAAAAACCAACCGGAGGCAACGAAGGGGATGCATCCCATCATCAGCGTCAGGCAGCGAAACCAGCCCTGTTGGTTAGAACAGAGGAGTGTTGGACAGGGCGGGACTAAACCAACGTTGAGGGCGGTCTACAATGCCTCCGCCGTTACTTGCGGTTCGGGGGTAAAGGGACACGTGGGACAACTACATGTACAACAAGTACAGCAGTTCCCGACGGTAACCGCACGTGCGTTCTGCGGTTGTTACCCCTACGATGCATGTGCACGAACAAGAGAACAGCGGGCAGGTCTATCGGAGGCGGAAACCACTGCTGCTGTGGTGACTAGATGGTCCTTTCTGCCGGTGAGGGCGGGGAGACCAGGGGTGCGGCGGGGAGACCAGGGGTGCGGCGGGGAGACCAGGGGTGCGGCGGGGAGACCAGGGGTGCGGCGGGGAGACCAGGGGTGCGGCGGGGAGACCAGGGGTGCGGCGGGGAGACCAGGGGTGCGGCGGGGAGAAACGGGTCGGCTTCTTCCGTGCTCCGTGCTACCACAGGGTACAAGGTACGGGTGGACGATTGCAAATCGTCGATGGTTCGTGATGGTTCTGCCAGGGGGCACAGGAAGCTCTGGAGTGTGATTGGGGGTGCTGGTTATACCGGGCGTCGAGGACAGGGCTCAGCGAAGACGCAACAGCGGGGCCACCAAACCTAAACCTTTGGCTGTGAACGGGGGTTGGGTCATCGTCACGCAAGTTTTCTGTTCGACTCTTTTGGATGATTCGAGAACAAGTAACAGATAGGGTTCTGCGGTAGAGAGAGGGAGACGCGGCTTTGAGTGCCCCTTCTAGCTGCACAGCATGTTGGGTTATCACGGTAATGGCCAAGCAGCGCGCTACTTTCAGGCAATTTCCCTCCCTCTGTCAGCTGCTGCCGGCGCGTTGATACCCTGGATGCCTGCGTGTGTGTAGGTCGCAACCTACGGAGCTAGCTTCCCAATGAGAGGGGTCGCACAAGAGAGATATGCCCCGTTCTACTCAAAACGCGCGCGACCGGATTACCTCACCTGCTGAACAGCGTCTTCCAGAGCTTTCCAAGCCCCCCCCCCCTCTCGTTTGTGGGAAGCACGCACAGCTTACGCCCCTCTGTTTCTTTCCTCCAAATGGCACTGCAAGGCTCCGCCCCAAGGCGTGCTCCTTAGGGGGACAAATGCTGAGAATGCATCATTGGGTACCCGTGATTCTCGAACCGATCTCAGTTTTCATCTCACGGAGCACCCGTTCGTGTTGCATCCAGATGTGCACACCCCAGACACAGGAGCAGGCAGGAGAGAGAGAGAAACCCGGACATATTAGGTGTGTGGTGATTGACATATATTCGTGTGGATTGCTGGCGTGTTTGGTAGCCGTTATGATTTTAACCAGGCTCTCACAAAACATGAGCACCTCCTATTTACATGTGTGTCGCCGCATCTGCATACACTCACATACCGGTACGTGATTGCCAAATGTATAATAGCACTGCTGTATCTACATCGTTCTTGCTCTGCCACCAGCAGGGAGAGGATGGCGGGACAGCGAAGGTGTAGAGCCCGCTCCGACTTCTATTTCGGGTCCCTCCTGCTCGCGTTGGCGTTGTCACTTGCTTCTTTTCTCGGTGGGGAAGCCTTCGCTGTGCTCCCTAGCGCTAGCGCGGTGGCTCGTGCAAGCGCGTTGACGAAGAACGCGGCGATCGCTACCGGCGGTGTCGACAACAGGCGGGGCGGCAGAGTTGGGAGACGTAGCCGAGGGGGAGGTTGGATGGGTTCTTCGGTAGGGGCTTCCGCAGCCGAGGCCTCAGCAGCAGAAGCGGTGGGTGGCGCTTAGGTTTGTTGGTGTTACATGTAACGTTTTGGTTGCTCCGCATTCAGCAGGTGTCACGATAGTGAAGTAGAAGGGTTCGTGTAAGATATCGTGAAGATCGAATAGTTCCACGACCCAGAGAACGGGTGGATGGCGTAGAGGAGGTTGGTTTGGCGACAATTTTCGAAGACGGGTCTGTCGGTATTGATCTGTCGGTATTGAGATCACCCTATCTTGTCGAGGCCAGCTACGTGAACATTTTTCTCCTTCACAGCAGATACAGCAGTAGAACTGCAGCAGATCTCCACAGCAGGAGGCATCTACTGCTGTGTAAGGGGTTGAGCGATAAAACGCGCATCAGGACCATGCATATCTCATATCAAGATTGTATGCAAGACATCGAGGTGCCCGAAGCTTCATTTTGACCACACGCAAGTCGAGACAACTCTATGACGGCTCGAACCGGAGAAACAGAGGTTCCGTTGCGGGACGCCCCGGCTGTTCAAGCAGCAACCACGGCGCCTCCTAACGGTGTGTGAAAGCACCGGACGCATCAGTAGCAGACAGCACGTGTGGGCAGCCAGACTATGCACACTTGCAGACACGTTGAGGTTTGAAGATACCCGCCAACACGCAAAATCGCGCGGCATAGGCGATAATATCTGTGGTTCAGTTTGCGCAACGCCGGGGCCATCCACCCTCGTGCGTGACCCAAGTGACAAATGGGGGCGATGCGCACGTGCTGGCGTCCCGTGCGATCTTGTTGTTTTATTGTTGAGCGCCGTGAACGTGAACGAAAATGTAGCGTCGACTTGAACTGCCGCCAGAGGCACCACATTGTGCGCCGGACGATCACAGGGCAGAGTACTCAACTTTGCTTTGGACTGTAGGCGTTGATTCGTTAATTCGGGAACCCATCCAATATCGGAAACAGCTTTTGCACAAACCCCGTGACTCGTGTGCATTTACAGTGGTTGGGTCCAACGGCGCAACCCTCCGCGGAAAGTACCCGGATGCGGTCTGCCGCCCATATGCCACTCGACGGTGGTGCTTAATCAGCAGATGAACATGTCATCGCGTGCGAAGAAATGGCAGTAACTTGCGAAGAAATCCATTAACGAGGAGAGCTTTTTAGTTTCACCCACGTGCACAGCACGAGCGGCAGTTGAGAAACCCACGTCCGGTACAGGTCAATGCAAGCCACCGCTGTTGCTGCATGTCGAGATGGTGGCGACGGACTGTTCTCCTTTTTTTTTGGTACGCGCGACGTTGCTCGCGTAGCTCAGGCGCCTGGACCACCAACCAGGGCTGATGAAAACAATGGTTGAAACGGGATCAACGTTTTCGTCAGCGCGCAGAGCAACGGCACCAACTGGCGGTTTCTCGTGTCACGGGCTATGTAGATATTTGCACTGGCCCCAGTTCACTCTCTATCCCGGCCTGTGGTTCTCTAGCAGATGTCCGGTACCGCCGCGGCGCCGCCGCCAGGGTCTGAAACGACACCAGACGCGCCGACGGGGGCGGAGAGATCGAGCCCTACCCCCGACACGCCGAGAACGCTAGGAGGCGTGGCCGAGGAAGGGTTTTCAGGCACGCGGCGGGGTTTCCAAGTCCAAAAGGTAGGAGCGGAATGGGGCAGCTTGTTGGCCTATCTGGTGCAGCAGCACCTTTCGCCACACGGCTGTGAGATGGTCGTCAGACACCCTGTTGCCTGTGCGCGAGGTGCAGCCGTACCGTTCACCCCACACTTGTTGTGAAGAGGTGGTCCTTCAAATCACCCTTGGAGTGAGGTGTGATGTGCGTTGGCTGTCTAGATATGGTGCCCGTTCCGGAGGGAAGGGGCTGCACAGACGCGACCCTTGTCTGCTGCCGCCGACATACCCATTGAGTTGCTTGGGAATGTTTGGGCTGCAGCCGCACGCAGCAAACCAGGGGGGGATAACCCGTAGCCTTCCTTAGCCTATGAGAGATTCACACCCCTTGGTGGGTAGAGGGTCGAAAAGGGTGGTATTCCACGTGGGGATCGATTGCCGAAGGGGGCGCAAAATACACATGGGTTCGCGAACAACACACGACTTGCGCGGAAGTACTGCTTACAGCTTCCACTCTGTCGTGTACAGCTTGTCTCACTGCCGCGGCTGAACGATGTTTTTTCCACATGCACTCAAAGAGAGTGCTGCTGCATTGTCTCCAATAGTTGCAGTCGAAATGCGTTCCTAATGCACGTGGATACGGTGCCTTCCGTTTTCCGTTCAGGAGTACGCCGTGCCGGAGGAGGCCCCGACGAATCTGCCCGAGGGAGAGGACGAAGGGTACCCGATGCTCATCTACCAGTTCATGCATGCCCAGGTACCCACCTAACTCTGGCATTCATTGGTTCTGCCTCGCGTGACGGTGCTCTCTGTCTTTTGTGTATCTGCTTGCATTGCCCTATTGGCAGCATGTACCCTGGTACAGTCGCAAAATCCCATGTTCACCGGTGTACCCGTTCAAGTCGCTGCCCGACTCGACCACTGGCATTGGGGGGCGTGGAGTGGGGGGCTTTGCGCAGGCCCAATCGACGCTGTATCAATACCGAGCGTGTCTCTTGTGTTCCAGCAACACTTGTTGGCTGTGAGATTGTCTCGCCAACTAGGCATGACAAGATGATTGGCCTCCCAGCGCGGAGTTGTTAAGACCTTCTAGCCGGGCTACCTGCTACGGCACCTCCTCTGTCTTTCGTTGTGCTCACTCCGTTGGTGTTACGTTTTGCGTAGATTTTCTCGCTCCCTCGTCAAAGATCGCCCAAACCACATCCAAACCGCATGGTGGAGGTGTCTCCGCGAGAGCAACTTGGAACGGTGCACGTCGTTTAGAAAGATACACGAGGCCTAACTAAGTGAAACTGTTGAGGCAAACAGCGGCAGGGGTATGCCCGGCCCACTGCTGGATCACGCGCGATCCAACGCAGGACTTACGTTGAGCCCCTCGCTCGATGCCCAGAACAATCGTCTACGTGGCATACGACCCTGAGACTAGCCGGAGTATTGCGAGAATCGCAAACGGATGGAAACGCTGTCGAACACGGCTCAGCTTTTTTTAGCACCGGTGGTGTGTGACACCGGATGGCTCGGTACTCTACCGTTTCTGCGTCTTGTTGGGGCGTTGTTGGTGATTGCGGCGGCCTGTACTGCTGTTCCTGTCACGCCACCATTTCCCGTGGCGACTGCTCGTGACCCTTCCAACCGTGGCTTCCTCTCGCGTTCCGTTTGGTTCCGTTCTGCTCTCGCTCGGATGGTGTGTGTGACCAGTACCGAGACGACTTCCCTAGCGTATCAAGCGCCAGGAAAGCTGTGCGGAGAAAAGAGCTGCTGCTCAACGGGACCGAGGTCCGGAACGATTCGAAGGTGTGGTGGTATTTCTCTGTTTGCGCCATGCTTGCCGGATCCTACCAGAGCACCCGGTCGTCAGCGCTTGCATACGTGTGCGTTTTCGCCTAAGGGATGAAGCCGGGTTCCTATAATAATGCGACCGACATGTCTACCATTTCGGGTGGCATGTTCGGACACGTACGGCGCTGGCGCTGAGCGTGTGGCGAGGACGAGAGGGCCGGGAAACCCATCGAGACACTATTGCTCCAATCACGAAGTACACGGCTTTCGCTTCGTGGTTGCTGGTGGTGGCATCGCCCGCACAGGCTTTCCTCACGAGAAAGGGTTTCGACCTGCGCTGTTGTTGTTTTTCGTTCCCGTAGGTCAACCCCGGGGACACTGTGACGATGCAGAAACGGACTCAGCCGGGACTGTTCCCGCAAGGGAAGCCTTCCTGCACTCTGCCGGTGAGAGCTAGCAACAATGTGTAGAGGGAGAAGAACGGGCGGGGGACCCGTACAGTAGAGGTCTCCGTTTTGTGCCGGTGCCTGGAAATGTGCCGGTGTTTTCGGCGGGCACAAACTGAATTCTAAGTCACTCTCAAAACTGTGAATAGTGCCGGTCCGGCACAGTGCCGTTGAATATTCTGGGCACCTAACCGGCACCTCTACTGCTGTACCCCATGCCCAGCCCTAGCTAGTACCCCAGCGGTGGCATGGCCAGCGTCGCGATCTCCGTCGCCCGAGTCAGTTCCTAAAGCGTAGAAATGCTTGTCCAACTTGGAGGCTCTGCTATTTGACCGGTATCATGCTTCGTGTGGCTGCGGGCAGATTCTACGTCGTTCGTCTATCCGGCCCCCCTGCTTGTTTCGCATGGCCGCCACGCCTTGATACTTTGACATGTATTGTAACTACCACATTGGTAAGACCGTTTTACGACCAAGGGTCACATGTTTCATGTAGGAAGGCCTGGTGTTTCCCATTTTGAGTGCTCTCCGATGCCTCTTGAGAATCGCGAACCGTGACGAGTATGACCTAGAACACAAGGGCGGGAACGTTGGCAAGCTTTTGCAAGATTAACCGTGGACAGGACTACAACAGCGGGCTTTCATGTTGAGGCCGTAGCATCATTAGTCCAGCATCGACCGAGCCATGGTCGTGAAGTCTTGTGTTGGTTGTCCTCTGACGGAGTTTCGCGTCGTACTTTGCCCAGGCCGAGCGGGCGGGGCGACTTCGAAAGTCGAGGTTCACGCTTCCGACGCCTCTCGCACCTTTTTGTTGTTTCCCGCGGTTTTGCGTTACCATTTCATCGAATGGGTACGCCCGACGTCTGTTCGTCTTTCGTGTTGGCATGGTCCTTTGTCGCCGGATCTTTCCGCGCAGATCTTGTGGGAGGACGACTTCATTGCGGTCATCATCAAGCCCGCAGGGGTCGCGGTGAGTGCCGGCACGAGCGTACATAAGACTTGCCCTTTGCCATCAACGCTCTGCACGGGCTCGGGCTACAATAGACCTCCCATGGTTGCCGTCGTTCTTTTTCGCCCTTGACGTTTTTTTTTACATTGGAGATCTCACTCCTCTTGTCCTTCTTCGGGTACGCACTCTTGGTGGCATCGCCATGTGCATCTCTACCAAGTAAATGGCTGTGGTTGTATCTCGAAAGGGTAGTCTTCTGTGATTGTACGTATGTACATTTTCTATTGTTTTCAAGAAGGCGCTTCTTCTCTGAACCTTTTTGGGGATGTTACCCTTCGTTGCACGTGCGGTGGAACTCCCCAGGTGCACGGGGGCACCGGGGAAGACGACCCGGGGCCCGGTGGAAGGAGGAGCGTGAGACAAGCTCTCCCCTACATGCTCACGCCCACCAAGAGCGAGGACCGCCCGCTGCACCGCCCGCTACACTGCCACAGGCTCGACAAGGCCACCGGGGGGCTGTTGATCTGCGCCAAGACGCGGCCTGCGCTCAGCGCTGTCGGGTGGGTGTTCCACACCACCATCGCGGGTTTGTTGTGGTGGTGGCGGTTGCGTTGGCGTTGATGGTGCTGCTTCTTGATGATGAGTTGGAAAGCTCGCGGGGGGTCTGTGAAGAAGGCTTCGAAAACAAACGCTCTGCTGCTGTTACGAGATCTGGGTGTACGTGTTGCAGGGCGCTGGTGGTTCTTGATTTTGCCTCTCTTGCTTGCAGCGAATGCCTCTTTGGGTACCGTGTGTAATGCAAGACACCTCGCTTACGGAAGATATCTCCTGCAGCATGCTGCGGAGCATAATTCGACACCGCACACACCCGTGCCGAATACGTAAGCATGTACTCCGAAGCTCTTTTGAAACCCTCCAATGATATCCCCGCAGTGTGGCACCATTGGTCCCCCACATGGTTGACACAGCCGTCCGCGGACTCGCCGGCGATGTCGATACGCTTCCGTGGCGGTCAAGCCTACCTGGATTTGTCTCCCTTTCGAAGGCCTCGCCATCGCAACCTCTCCCCCCCCCCCCCGTGTTCTCTTGATTCCACCCCAACCCTGATGCGTTGAACCGTTCGCCCTACTCTGGTTCAGCGACGCATTTGAGCAACGGCTGGTGTCGAAGCGGTACGTAGCCCTCGTTGCCGGGGAGCTGGAAGGGAGCGGCGCGATCGTCACTCCCCTGGACGGAAAAGTGCGCAATCTTCATGCAGGCAGTTGATGCAGCTACAAAATGCGCAAGGATGTTTTTTCTTTTCTTGGTTCGCTACGTGGTTGTTTTTGCTTGATGGCCCCCACCCGGGGACCAGTTTTCGCCAAGACGATGCGATATGCGTGTACGGGTAACGTTTGTTGGTTTGGGACTCCGGGGTAGCTGCTGAAGGATGGCAGCTACGGACGAGCGAGCACCCGGGTGGCTCTTTCATCCAACAAGCTACGGATATTTGGTATGTTGTTGTTTCAGCTGCTGTTGCTGCTAAATACTTACACCCCAAAACGTCAACGCGTGCCGCGCTGTGGAAATTCCAGCTCCCTCGCCCTACCACTCTAATGCGGTACCGTATGTCTGCCTTGCGCGTGGTTCTCCTTGTAATCTTCCCGCTAACCCTTGCCCGCCCCCAGGCCTGTCTCACGAACTACCGCGTGAGGGGACCTCCCGTGAGGTCGCTCAAGACCTCGGTAATCACTACGGTCGATCTCTGGCCGGTCACAGGACGGCTGCACCAGCTCAGAAGGTCGGGGCGTGTTTTGCTTCGGTTTACCCTTGTTTCAACCTTGTTGACGGTGCTCTTGCGCCTTGGTACTGATGGCGTTCGAACGCTGCACGTGCTCATGTCTCGAACGTGGACCGGTATAGGCCTCTGATTGGGGTCCCTGGACCGCACTATGCACGGCTGTATTTTTGAGTTCATGTATGTTACTCATTGGAAGCGCGGATGTATCTACGCGTTCATGTATATTCACTCGGCCGCGATCACCGCTACTGACGTGCATGGTACTGATGGACGAGAGACTTGAGTCCGTCCTCCCGGCGCCTAACTGTGGTCTTTTCTTGTTCCTACGCCTATCATAGTTTTCTTCTGCTTGTGCAGTGCGTCGAGGCCGGCGTGTATTTGTCCCGCACACCTTGTCGCCCTCGCCACCGTCTGCGCCGCCGCGTTCACGACATGTCCGGTTCTGCATGAATGCAGAGATATGCTGTCTCGGGAGTCGGCTGACGGCGTGCCTCCCGCTTCGTTGTCTCCTGCTTTTGCGTTTTTTTATTCACTCAACTACTCCCCAAGGCACTTGTTGAGCATAGGCTGTCCGATTCTGGGTGACAGGCGCTACACGCCTGATGAGGTTCCCTTTCAGGAAGGCGGCATGTATCTGCAGTGAGTTATCACCACGGGCTTAAGTATTGGCAACGAGAGAGTACAATGAATAACAGCTACAAGTGGAGTAATGGTGCTTTTTCTCTTGTACCTGTTCCGTCGTATGTGTGCAAGATATGAGCATGACGACTGTATGGACGATAGAGGTAGAACTCGCGACGAAATTTTGTCTGTTGTTTTGTCGATGTGTTGCAGGAAAGGTGGAGGGTTTCCTCTTCTCAGCAACTATGGTACGTTACGCTTCTCTCATTCCTTCAAGATGCGCTTTACCAAAATGAGCATGTATTCGAAAATGCAGCAGCAGAATCTATTTCGTTGTTGCTGTCGGGAAATCTTTGGCAGCTTTTCTAGGCGGACGTTGAGGCCTGTCAATCCCGAAGAGGACAACAGCTTAGTTGCCTTTTCCCTCCGACAAGCTGTGCTTTGCTAGGCCGTTGGCTCCCTCACTCTGAGGTACTCCGCGGTGTCGATGATCACACTCAACTCGCTTTTTCATTTTATCCCTTTCCTTGTTTCTTTCCCCTTACCTTGCTCAGGGCGGTCGGACTGACGTTCCCGCATCCCATCACCGGCGAGGAGATGAACTTTTCCATACCAGAGCCAGCCAAGTTCGAGTGAGCGCCAACGGACGGGTGGCTGAGCATTCTAGCTGCAATCCACGCCGTGTTTTTCAGAGTCCCCGGGAAGGCCGAGTTCTGACGAATGGTTTATCGATGGCTAGCTGCTTTCCTTGTCTCGGGTGCAACTCGCCTGCTCTTCGATCACCTAACCTGTCCTACGTGATCCTCGCCTGTTTGACTTTGCGCTCTTGTTGACCTCCATGCTCGATTTTTCGAACGCCCCCGACCCCGAACTAAAACCTACACAGAAAATGGCGAGAAAAGGAGCACCAAAGATGGCTGCTGCACGATACTGGCAGCGGTAGCACTGGCGACGGCGATGTGTCCGCCGGCGCGGATGGCGCAGATGCACAAGGCGGCGAGGAGAAGAAAAAGGCATCTGTAAACGCCGTGCCAAAAGTGGAGGTGCGATAAATGTCCCGACACCCGAAAGCAAAATGAACTCGACTCTCACTGACTTGTACATGCGGTACATACGTTGTGGCTTTGAAAATTTGAACCATTTGTAACATGTCGTGCCCGAACCGAGCCGTAATGCTGGACCAGGAGTTGAGGGGTGGGTACCTTGAGTTTCACTGCCACCAGCGGACACATGTCTTTGGGCCGTGCGGATGGGCCACATGCACGCACATGCGATAGCGATTTGGTAGTTCTTTTGAAAGAGAAATCGGGGTTGGCAGGGTGCATATGCCAGCGTGTAGTCAAGAAACAGAAAGCGTTTGAATACAACTATTTTTGGCTGCTACGTAAAGCAGGGTCCGAAATTCGTTCTCCTGATATCATCAGTCACGTACGTTGTCATCAGCGGCCCCAGGGTTAAGCTCTCGCTACCCCAAAGCTGGCTTCCCGCATACAGCAGCACTGTTGGAGAACGTGGTAACAGGCTCAGCTGGTTACGTGCTTGAATCTTCCTCCTTTCCGCCCATGTCGTTCTTGCTCTACGTTCCTGTAGCTATGGACGCATACACCGCGGTGTACTACAGTAGTACGCATCTCGTCGTGTCTTAGTCTCGTACTGTAGCACCGCCGATACGACAGAGCTTTGGAGTTCAACCAACCGCGGGATGCACAGCAATTTCAGAGAGCAGACGTGGAACGTGAATCTAAGTGTCTTGCTGCTTTGTATCGTGGTTGCTTCTTGCTGTGCTGGATGCGTTTTGATTTCGCACGCCCACGCCTTGACCCCCGCCCGCGACGTGCGGTACTTGACGGCCAAAATGTGTTCTTGTCAGGGCTTGCAAATGGAAGAGCGAGACGGGTTCAGGTATTATCAGTATGATTGGAGCGTGGTGGGAGGCAAACCCACCGCGCTGTCCACAGACGACATCGACACTGCCTTGGACGGCGCTCCGTAGGACAACGAAGTTGTCCTCGAAAGTCTGGTCGTGTTCCGTGTTCCCGTACGCGGTTTGCTGCGTTCTTGCGAACAGTAACCGTTCATGTTGTATGGTCGGGCGGGTGTTAGGCTGCGCATGCGTGTGGGTGGCAAGCCACGCCTCCTAGAGCCCCTCGTAGAGCAGCCGTCGCTCTCCAGCTGAAGGTTGGTGTTCCTTGTTGAGAGGGTCGGCTGTGTAGGTAGCTATCGTTGTTCTTGTTGTTGTCGTGTTCATGTTAAATGTCGTTCCGATCTGTGCCCGGTACCTTGTCATCCGTAACTCGTCCAGCTGACTTGGCGAACAGGAAGTCGACGGAATTGGTCAAGTTCGAGACCCGTTCGTGAATATCTTTTCCGCGGATGTTCGTTGACAGGATGTTTTTTTCGGAACATGAATTGGGTTCGTTCCGTGCAAGCTCTGTCCCGTGCAAGCTAGCTTACAGTAGGCATCATGCTGGTGCTCTGCATTTCATTCTTGAGCTTGCCGATCGATGGCACACCTTCTAGGCACCTTGCGGACACATGAGACACCCCCAGCGGTTTAGGAGGCGTTCTTGGCTTCGTCACCCCGCCGGGGCTCACGTATGTTCATTGACGAACTGGTTAGCGCGGTCGATGTTCATACGTTCATAGCAAAATCAACACACACTCGCGCACGCCCACACCGGCCTGCACCCTCGTGGACCTGTTGGCGCAGTCCGTACTATCAACTGATATATGCATAGGGCGAGAGACACCCAAAGCAACGGCAAACAACCCGTGGCCACTGTGCGTTTCTAGTGTTCTAGTGGTCGCACCGCAATGTTCCACTCATGGGCACACAATTGCTCAACTATGCATTGGACTATGCATGTGATACGGATGCAGCAAGGTTGTTTGCGAGAGCTGCTGCCAGAAAGTTTGGATACTAAAAACTTTGGAACATGGGGAAGATTGCTACATAAATTTTACGTACCATGACGTGTGTACCTAAACGCCACGGGTTCACTATTCTGAAAACAGACCCAGCGAGTCATTCACACTTTGGTACAAGGGATCCCTCCGGAGTGGGCTCATGAGAGCACACCAGTGTCATCCAGGGGTGATGAAAGATGAAAATAAAAGCAGGCAGCAGGACCAGCCCACAGCTTGCAGCCAGCTGCCACTTGTGACGTTTGCCAAGCTCAACAGCTCACACGCCTGACGTGCTTTGACTCGGTAAACCAAACAAACCTAAAAGAAAATAGTACACCCAGTAAACTTGAACCAAAAAATAGAAGAAAGCATACAAATCTGTGCAGTCTTAAGCCCAACACCTTTACTTCTCACTCTCTGAATACCAACGCGGCTGGGCTCCATATCAGGTCGAATGTAGAACATTCCGACTGTCGCCTCACATTGTAAATTGCAATACCCTTGCACCACCCAACCACGGTTAGTCTATTCACCGCTAGGGTTTTCAGGAAAAACCTGTCTGGGGTCGCTCTGTAACAACACGAGCCTTCAACACGGCAGATAAAACGCCTGACCAACGTATTCCAGAAACAAACGCCCTCGACGCCATGTCTAGCAGCGCAGGCCACGGTCACGCCCGTTTGATAATTCAAACCAGATATTGTACACACGAAATTTCTCACACGGAAGGGGACCTATCTCTCCAAAAGTGTCCAGCCGGGACACTTACCATCCTACCGAGCGAAACAAATCTAAGCTCCATAAAACTAAATGATAATGTTACAAGGGATTTTACCCGCACTGTTGTTTAGAAGTAGATGATACAAATGACCAAGCCACAACGAACAAGAAGAAACAAATGTTGGCAATGTCTCGACTACGAGGAGGGACGGAGCCCAGTTTCTAAAAGGAAATTCCTATGCATAAGTGGGTACCAGTCCTACAATAATTACATTTATACGCGCGTGGATCCCCCCGAAGCGGGAAGAGCAACACGTTTGCGGCATCACTTGAACAACGAGCCCGCTAGGAGAAAGTACACCGGAAATAGTTATCAGAGACCCCAGCCGAACGCCCCGACCGAAACATCAACTAGAGAATGCTACCAGGCCATCTTCATGGCGAGGGCCTATCCGACGCTTCCTCGTGTAGTCCACGGCAAAAACGACATTGATTCAACACCCCGCGGGCACGCACACATAAAAACCGCTGATAGGCATTTCGACAGAAACCTTCGCTTCGAAGCAGTTCATGCCCTTCATCTGAACAGCTGTGCCGGAGAAGGACGATGCTGTTCGAACTACTACTTCCGCGTCCAAGAGGAACAGAAAGTCTACGAACGCTTTGAGGGCAGCAATCTTGGGGTGTGCAGAGAAAGTGGTGTGGGCGTCGCCTACTGGAACACCGACATCCACCAATCCAGGCAACATGTCTCGGCCCGCAGCTTCGGCGGAGCAGTTGCGCGCCATGCTCATACTGTACAGCAAGAGCGCGCCGGTGGATGGGGACGACTCCCTTTCATATACGTACAAATTGTCAAGCACCCCAACTTCGGTTTGCTGGAGAGCACGCACGACATTCATCCCGCCTTGCGAACCAAAGCCACCAGGGGCGATTGGCCTCGTGAGTATCGTTGAGGCAAAAGCGCAAGATAATTTGCCTTTCACCACCGTTTATCACCCAAACATCGGATGCGGCAGTACACGCGCCTACACGCGTCGGGGAGGTCATCGTATCGGAACAACGTCCTCACCTGTTGGAAGAGATGAAGAGCGGAACATCGCCCTCGTCCGCATTGAAAGCAGCAGGGCAGACGCCCTTCGCCTCCTCCGTTGCCGTGAAGTACCAATTACACACCACGGTCGATCGCAAATTGTTGAAGATGTAGGTGTGGATTTTCGGGTCAAAAGACCCTGCGGTTTCTCCCTCGGTCGTTCGTATCTGAAAAGCGACGTATTTTTGGAACCGGGACATTGAGCTGCCTTCCACTCTCCAAGGGTTGTAGACCTCCAAGCTCCTCATCATCGAAGCGCTGAAAATGTGTACACATGGTGCATCAACGAAGGACAAAACCGCGACGTGAGCAGCGTGATCGAAACCAGACGATGCTAGGGTACGATTTCTAGGTCTTCTAATACAGGGAATCGTACATTACGTCATCTCTTGTACTTCGAATGCTATGTCACGAACGTAGCCTACAACCTTCCGTTCACGAAAAAAAAGACGCCATAGATACTCCACGTTGCTTGCGCACCTGCGTTTCACGAACATGTTCCACGTACAGGGTTGGGAAGCAGGCAGTCCGTTTTGCAACCGGCCGCTGATCCAATACCGAATCTTCACGGGAAACACCTTTTTCAGCTGAAGCACCATGGCGTCTGGATGTTGTATCGCGATGCCCATCTTCGACGCCAACATCGTGAGCTGGTGGTCGCACAGGACCATAAAGCCGTCGTAGAACCAGAACAAGTGAAAGCCAGACGGATTTACACCTTCCAAATGCGACAAACGTTCAGTTTCCAGAACGGAGTCTCATCACGAGGCTCCATGTCACCAAGTACCACGAATCGGCCAACAAAAACTGCTGCGCCCGGTGCGAATACACACACGCACACAAGATTTTGGAAGCGTGTGGCGATTGGGACTTGTGCCTTGCCGGGTAGCTCAGACATCTCAGGGTACCTGAAGAGAGGTCTAGATGTTGAGTTCCGAAAAAAAATGGCCACAACGACGGCATAGACATTTCTACCACCATGATATTGTTGGGTGCTGCGGCCTTGCACACGGCATCAAAATTCGCCTCACTTGGGAGCTGATAACACTGACAAATCGATACTGTTCTTGTCAGGTAGGTCTCTCGGTGGTCGTCTTTCCCGTGCCTTGGGTCGAAGGCTAGGTCGCTCAACAACCAAACCCACCTCGACTGATCGCCTTTGCTCTTCGACGGAATGGCTCAGTGTCGATGTCCCACTTGAGTTCGCCCGTGTCAAACGCGTCTCGAAACCCCTGGAAACCCTTCCAATTTACAACTAGGCCCAGCTCAAGCCAACGGGCCACCTAAGGATAGCGCCAAGGGCGTGGAGTGAAGCGCGCGTGTAAAGGATGTTGTCAAAGGTTCGTACCCTGGAGAGCGTGTTGGACAGGGTCACGACGTCACTAGCCGTTTCGGGGTAGATATGGCGAGGTTACACACACTGGGCCTCACACGTGTTCAGTAGAACTGCATCCTTCGTCCTGCCACGTTTCTATTATGGCACCGGTGGTACGAGACGAAGAGCATTTCGAGACGATACCCGAAGAAATAGCTCGAAGGATGGTGTATTTTTATGACTAGGACAGACGATGCACAGAAAACCCGCGACTATAGGCAACTCTTGGAGTGCGTCGATCGGTGGTCCTAGAAGGTTCGTGCCTCGCTTTCGCTCGGCAATGGGTGCAAACAAACGTCATTGGGATGACAAAATCGGCTCGGGTATTGACCACCAGAGCGTTCTTCTTCGACCCATACCTGAATGATATTTCTCAAGTCCATGAACGCGTTTCCCACCCGTGACACCAGATCGAAGACCACAACCGTGCCGTTGGCGATGGCGCTTTCCTGCATTGCTGGCCATGTGCGCCACAACTCGTCGCATTCACTGTCGGCGGGGGCGTGTACGAGTTGGTTGGCAGCCCCTTGCACCGCGGCTACTCCACCGCCTTGGCTGGCAGCCCCCTGAGCTACTGGTACTCCACCGCTTGATGAAGATGACACCTCCTCGAAGCTTAACAGCGGAGAAGTGGGGCACGTCGGGGTGTGGGCCGGAATGACGCAAGGCATGCGTTGAACCATTTGTTCACAGTGTAGAGATTCACCACTTCTTAGATTGCCCTCTGGAGTACTCCCCTGGCGCACGTTTTCCAAGTACATGCGGATATAGATTGTGGGCACTGGGTCATGCACCAGGAGCAACACAGCGAGGCATGAAAACGTGTCACCTCTGCCCTCTGTCGGCTTCCAAAAGCTCCAGGTTTCTGGGGTTGGGCAGGCCTTCGACTCTTCCTGCGCGGCAAGGGCATCCGAACCAACGGGTACAATGAATTGTGCGAACATAACGCTCGTAGCGAAACACTTCTAAATACGCGAGAATTGTAACGAAGGAAAACTTTATATCTCCCAAAGGTGGCCCGACCCTGTGGTGGCGCGAGCGTTCCCACTGAAAGAGTTCATATCTTCTCATCCCGGATTCTAAAATTTTCGCGCGAATATTCGGTCGTTTAGGCTTGTGCCTGCACACCGTACCTGATTGGATGAACTCTGGATTCTCTGGATTGTTTGCGGACAGCAATCCGAACCACTCGCTGCCTTTTTCGTCTGGTTCCGATCGACAGGTGGGGTTGACCTCTTGGCGACCGAAAGCGTAGTCTGCATGGTTTGATCAATATTCAAAGGAGCCAGTAAGCCTAACGTCACATATTGACCAACTCGCGGAAATTGATGAAGCAAGACGGTACAGCCAGGGGGTGATGCCAACCAGGTGTTCTCCAGGCACATGCGAGCGACAACAACAGCAGTACCGCGCAAAGAAAATGAAGATCGTGCGGTACTCACAGCCATCGCAGTCAACCCATGCAGCGTCTCCTACGTCGCCCACATCGCCTGCAGATGACCTTCGTGTACCCTTACATGCCCACCAAATATGCTGCGGGGGTACCGATAATCGCACATCCTTTCGGGGCAGTACAATAGACAATAGACATGGGAGAATGGCGAGTGCAATGTTAGGGCGGTCCTCCTCCTGTGCCTCCCCCAGCAGGGTACAACATGGGGGCAATTTAGGAGCCGCCAAACTTGGAAGTCGACCGTGACAGATAGCGACGCCCTACAGGTAGAGCCATATACTGTGTTGGGTTCCGCGTTGAAGCTGTTCAGTCAGGTGTCCAAGGTCGCAAGGTTTGGGAGATGCGGGCGATCGAATATGCCTAGGGATGGCCAAAACAACATAAACACACGTCACTAAATTTCAACCAGCTCTGCGGAAGGGGGCCTGGAACGAGACTCGTCAAGAATATAGACGGTATATTGATGAAATGTCATGAACACCGGCCAACGAAAAGGTCGCATGATGCTGACCTCCGTAGTCGAGATGTGCGGACGCATGCGTCGAAGGCATGTCGAGATGTACAGAGGTCACACGCGCGATTATCCAGTCACGAACACAGCATTCAACTTTACCAGGCGTGGGTGGTCGACCATGTACCTCTTGTCGAGTTCCAGACGGAAATACTTCGCGAAGCGTTCCAGCTGATGCAGTGTCACCACAGCCGGTGACTCCCCCGTGTTCCGTGCGGTGAGCACCGGTCACCGTCGGGATGGAGCAATCGTCATGGAGTTTTGAGCACAGTGCCTCGGCGTGGTCACCATCACACCTGTACGGCTGCGGAGCTGAGGGCCGGGTCGGTCTTCGGTGCCCTTCTCCATCCTCCAACATCCGGCAGATGGGGTGCCTCGCCGTGTTTGCGCATTGCTGCGTCGTCAAAAGCACCACACCAAGTAGTGCGCAGCTCGGAAACGTCAGCCTCGGCAAAGGTGACATGTTTGGCCTGGGCTTGGCAAAAGGTAGATTGGGAGGGGCGGGGATACAGCGCACCAGAGCGAAAGAGAGGTTAGGCCGGACAGCCAATCATTGAATATAAGAAACACATTCAAGACGTCACAAGGTTGCCAGATCTGCGACATGCTGCGTACAAGCGGGATTCGGGGCTTATCTTGACTATCGGCCAAACGATGAGCTTGGACTGAAAAAGAAACGACAATCAAATTCATGACCGAGTTGTAAGAAACCCCAAGTGTCCTCGGAGTGTAGTTGTTCGGCCCTTGCACAGTACCCAGGTATGTTCAACGTTTGAGCCCAATGCGCAAATGTTACGCTTGCGCGATCAACAAGATCCCCTCCCCCCCCTCACGGCAACAACATGTTTCGAAAAAACACTTGACATGAGCAGCAGCAAATCTGTGCTGACCATATGAAGTGCTCAGGTAAGTGGTTTGCGGCGAGGTAGATGCAGGCAGGCACTCGCGGTCAGCCGGCGCGAATGCCGTGGTTACTTTCGTATACGTTCGTAGTAGCCCTCGTGTTGATTTTTTCTTGTCCTGGTAATCACATTATCGCTCTGTATCAATACCCGTCTGGGCCAGTTAGTCTGCGACCACGGCAGGTATCGACGTCAGATGGACCAGTACCGACGTTAAAGGTACTGATCAGAGATCGGAACGGTTACTAATGTGACATGAAGTGTCGCGAAGGCCATCGCATCAAACAAACACGTGGAGCACCCTAACAACCGCCACGAAATCTTGGTCGTCGGTGTACGTACGTATGTACATAGTGCGGTTCAGCTGGCTTCAAGTCTTCTATCGGCTCTCCAAGGCACAACACACAACGCTCTACATTGTTTTCGCCCTGTATGCTGCTGTGTCTGGTATATTGTCGAAATGCGTGTCACCGCGCGCGTCCCACTTCGCGCGGGATCTCGAGGGAGCGAGGCGATCGTTGGGAGCACCATACCAAGTATCTTGGCAACCGAACATGGTAGGAAAAGCTTAGCCGGGAGTCCCGAAGAGAAGCATGTTTACACATGTGTAAGTGTATATCATACCACACCCTGGACGTTAGACTCGTAACCACGTTTCGTTTTCAAAGAGCATTTTGAAGTACTTCGAAGTCTTGGTAATACAATAGTCACGTTTCCGGCACGACCAGAGAGGTAGCCGACATCGGAGGCTGGTTGCCCTTGGGTTCAAAACGACCAATTACTCCGCAATAATCTGGTTCCCAAACCAAACGTTGACACAGCTGCACTCTCGCCTTACTCTACACCACGATACCCAACCCTCTGAACTGCTGTCGGCCGCCAAAGGCAGCTCGCGGTATGAGCCACCGCCGCTGTAGATTGCGCCAGTGACACCGCGAGCGCTGCAGTGAACGACGAGTGCTTTGGACCCAGGTCACGGGTAGCGGACTACAATGCTGTGATCGAACACGCTGCTGTACAGTAGGGGTCATCAGCACCGCCTGATGATGTAGGAGCCTGATGATGTAGGAGCATACCTGAGCAATATAGAGCTCTGATCTACGTACTTAATGCAAAGGGTCGGTGTGTGGGCAACCCACAACTCTCTGTCAGGACGCAGACTATCTCCGTGCCTCTGACTACCTCTGACTGCCGTCGGCTTCGGATTGCTTCTGCTCGCTTGTCTGACATGCAGGTGTCAACGCTCTGCCACACATGTTTTCTGTTTGGCTCACCCGTTACGGACTGGCGTAGCAGCAGAGGGGGGGCTGATGGGAGCGTCCAAAGAGCGAGCGAGGTGAGGTAGGTTTGACGTGAACCGCGAGTATGGCAGGGCGCCGCAGCCGCACCCTAGAGGCGGCAATGTGGTGGGGGGGTTTTAAGAAAAGATCCCCGGGGTTTCACGGAAATAATTAAGGTTCCGGCGGAGAATGGGGGCGATGGGGCGGAACCCGAGAACCGGATCCTCTGTGTATCGCACGTTTTCGCCAGCGAAGACAGAAGCACCACGCCTTCACCTCTCTTTATGATCAACGCCCATGGCTTGGCATTTCGGAAACCTGCAATCAACGAAATGGAGCACTACCGACCCAGCAGGCAGCAGACACAACAGCCCCAGACATCGTGTCCCGCGTGAATCGACTGTGGGTATACCTCGAATGCCTCCAGTACATTTTACCATCCGTGCGAAGGGATCTTTACTTCTAAATTTACTGTCTCCTCATTGGTTGGAGATGCGCGTGCGCGCGCTCCCTCGGTGAACCTCTTTTTGGTTCTATTCACAAAGCTCTCCTGGGGTGGGGAAACCCCGGCGCTGTAGCTAGCTACATTTCTCCGCACGCCGCGCACGAGGTGCGCGTGCTGTGAAGGACGGACAGGGCGGCCGTGCTACCTTATCGACACGTAGCCTCTAGAGGGAGGCATTGCATAGCGTGGCTTCCACCGTTGGCCACCACAGCAGCGGTCAGTCGTTGATGCAAGGAGGTGAGCGGCATGCTGCCGAGCACGGGCTCTGCTGGCGGCGCGCATCATGATGCTGATCATGATGCAGGCGCGGATGACTGCGTGGATGGTGCGGCTGGTCGCCAGCACAAGCCGTTGTCGCACCCCTTGCCCGCAGCCCCATGCGCGAACACTGGAGAGAGTTCCAACTTCTTGCAGCAAAACCCTCCTCGAGAACGGACAGCGACCTCTTCCGGTAGCGAGCCGTCGGGCAATTCCCATCTGTCGGTCAGCGGCGCGCCTGGCGGTGTAGCCACCGTCGCGAACACATTTCCTTGCGACACTCCTGCGGCTATCGGAGAGGCTTGCAGAAGTGTGAGTGGACGTGAATCACCACCAGCGAAACGCCACGCGTCGCAAAGCCCATCATCCCGGGGGAGTTTGGGACGAGATGCAAGAAATTCATGCGAGGGCTTCGGGGCCGGTGAACGTCGCGGCAGGGTGCTGCACTCGTTCCTTGCTACAGCTGTGCAGATGTCCCAAGCATCGGAGGCCTTGGGGACGCCAGGGGAGCTATCAGGTGATGGTTTCGAATTCGCGGAACCACATACGCCCCTTTCGTCTGCCATTGGGGTACATACGGGACCGGGATACTGCTCTACCGGTACGCACGGGCCGAGTGCACCACTATAATACTACATTCGGAGGTAGAGGGAGTAGCGCAGCTAAACTATGAACGCTCACGCCAACTTGGAGCAATGTTGCCACCATGGCAGCGCCTAGCCAACGAAGTGCGGTGGCGACCGCAGCAGCAGCAGCAGCAGCA